GAAGAAGTCTAACGTGCTAGTACAAGTTCCATCCTTAGTGAAAATGATGTTAGACTTCAACCAGCCTGGCACTGCCGAATCGGCCACAATTTCAGGCGCCATGTTGAAATCTCCACCGATGCAATGTGGGCCAGCAAACTCGCTGTGCCGAGATCCGACTGCTGATAGGATTGCGAGGTTCCTGTCAGAGAGGTCCTCACTGTCATGTAGATATAGGGCCGTGAACAATGTTTGCGGAGCTCCAGGGACCGAAACAATACCACTCAGGGCTCTGTGGGGAACGACGGCAGCCTCAAAATCGGGATCGTGAAATCCAAGATACTGTCGTACCAAAATCGCCACCCCTCCAGAGGAACCCCCCTCGCTGGTACGTAACGCTGGAGCGAATCTAGATTTCCATCCCCTCTTCAGTGCCCACTGTCCTGCCTTCGCGATGTCGTCAACACTAACCAAACGATGTTCCTGAACCAGGAGTACGTGCGAAGTAGAGGATTCTACCCAGGACTCAATCGATGACCACGCCGTACAATTGATCGTCTCGACAGCTAACTGAAACACGCAGGCAGGGCAGGGGGGCACAGATAAAAACTTAGAACGGTCGGATGGAAGGGATCCATCAGAAGGACGCCTAGAAAAATTGCTGGTCAGCTTGCTGGCTGACGGGGGAGAGAGGCTGTCAGAACTGCACGAAGTCTGATCAGCCGATGTCGCCGACGAGGGAGCCCTCGCCGATGAACTTTCTGACGATGTAATTCCGAGAAACGAATCGGGCGCCGGTGGGGATGAGCATGTGGCCGATGGACCACTTGGAATATCAGGTGAACCATGAAGATGAGGGCCCCCCTGCCGCCTACGCGACGACAGGGGGGACTGCCTGCTGAGGTAGTGGACCCAAGAGCTTGTCTGCAGTCTCCAAGAGCGCCGTGGCCGACGAGGTCGAAGACCCCTGTCCAACGCTGCCGCTCTCCTTCGCTGCCGAGCCCTCAGGTGCAGCTCCACCAGCTCCGTCATTAGATCCTGCGGCACCTCCACCTCTTGAATCGGCGGCACCACTCGTAGCTTCACCTTCGTTATTATTGCGCTTCTTGCCGAGACGGAGGACATGGGCCTTGTGCGCGCTCTTGAGCTCCTCGAACTTCTGGGAAGCCTGGCCGAAGAGGTCCTTAGCGGCGTTGGAGATCTGCTCACGTAGCTGCTGCGACCTGGCTGCAAGCTCCTCTCGATCTGAGTCTTGAATATCATAGACGTCACCGTCGACCCCGAAAGCGCTCTCGACGCTGGAGAGATCGAGGAACTCTCCGTTGCCGCTGAGCAGCTCCTGCAGCGTGACCTGGGTCTTCTGCTGGGTCGGAGCTGGCGCACATACTTGGCTGGAGAGCTGCTCCACCAAGCCTTTGTATTTAGAAATCTCATCACGAAGTTCGATCCTGATCTTGGCAATAGAATCCTTTTTGTCGTCGAGCCAATTCTTCCACCGCTCATACTGCACAATGTCGGCATTGAGCTTCTTCTCGAGCTGCTTGATGTGGCGGTCGACCGTGGACACCTGCGTCTGGAGAGGAATGGGCTCCCCAGCGGACCGACGTTGGTCGATGCGAAGTTGGTAAGCCGCAGCCACACTCGGATTGCCCATCTTCTTGTTGAGCTCAATGAGCTGCTGGATTTCGCCGTCCGAAAGAGCGTCCTGGTTCCCAATGATGGCCGCTGGTGGAGGACCACGCCCTTGAAGCCCAACGGGCGCGGGGTCGCCAGACCTTCCACCTTGGGGCCGCTCCCAGGCGGTCCACTGATCTCCAGCATCACCAGGAGGAAGTGTGACATCGCAATCCTTCTTCTTGCCACCACATTGCTTGCAATACCAGTACCTCCCCAAGTTCTTGGCGCATCCACAGCGCCCGCACTTCCGAGGAGAACCATGATCGCTACGATGGTCGGACCAGCCCGCCCAGTCGCCGCCCTTGCGACGCGGCGGGGCCATGGCGAGAGAAAAGACCTGGTTGTGATTGCCTCTGGTTTGGCGGTCTCCCTCGGGAGACGTGACCTCAAGCACCACGGGACGGTACAGAGGCAGGCTCAAAGAAGGCTTGAGCCCCAATTGATTGAGCTGTTGGGTTGCTTTGCGGGGATATGTTTCCAAAATGCTGCTCTCGCTGAGGCGCCGGCCTCATTTTCGGGCCCCGCTCGTTCCGAATCGTGCTCCCGCTGCAGCGCTGGCATCATTTCCGCTGGCGCCTGGGCTGCACGCCCGAGCCGGCGCCCGGGCCGGCGCTCGGGCCGCCGGGTCCGGAGCCGGGTCCGGCCGCCCCCGGAAAATCGAGTTCCGAGGCGGCGCCGAAAAAAGGCCATTCTAATACACATTTTTCTTTTGAAAATGTTCCGTTTCTGCTTCCGGAGCCCGGGAGACCTCCTGGGCCGATTCCGACGCCCGGGCCGGCGCCCGAGCCGGTGCCCGGGCCGGACGCCCGAGCCTGCGCCCGGGCCGGCGCCCGGGCCGGGTCCGGAGCCGGTTCCGGCCGGCGCCGGAAAATCGAGTTCCGAGGCGGCGCCGAAAAAAGGCAATTCTAATACACATGTTTGTTTTTGAAAATGTTCAATTTCTGCTTCCGGCGCCCAGGGGGCCTCCCGGGCCGATTCCGACGCCCGGGCTGGCGCCCGAGCCGGCGCCCGGGCCGGACGCCCGAGCCTGCGCCCGGGCCGGCGCCTGGGCCGGGTCCGGAGCCGGTTCCGGCCGGCGCCGGAAAATCGAGTTCCGAGGCGGCGCCGAAAAAAGGCCATTCCAATACTCATTTTCTTTTGAAAATGCTGAATTTCTGCTTCTGGCGCCCGGGAAGCCTCCCGGGCCGATTCTGGCGTGCTTCCGCTCGTTCCGCATCGTGCTCCCGCTGCAGCGCTGGCCTCATTTCCGCGCTTTCGCTCGTTTCGACTCGTGCTCCCGCCGCAGCGCTGGCGTCATTTCCCGTGCCATGCCACGGCATGCAATGCAATGCTAGGTTGATACTACGCTTCGCGGTGCTTTTCTACGCCATGCCATGCCGTGCTCTACACTGCATCGCGTACCCTTTCGGGATCATTGCCCTGGTCGACATCCGACGTCGAGTAGAGAGGGGATCTGCGCCATGGTAAGGGATGGGAGGGAGGGGTAGGATGTCAGATATGACGCGAGCGCACCTAGCTTGCCTAACCCCCTTCCCCCCCCCTCCCATCAGAAAACTGGGAGGGGTCACTACCGGTTCGAACCCCCCCCCTCCACCTCGAAAACCGAGGGGGGTCACACTACCGGTTCGACCCCCCCCTCGAAAAAACTGGGGGGGGAGTCACTACCGGTTCGAACCCCCCCCTCGAAAACCGGGGAGGGTCACTACCAGTTCGAACCCCTCCTCCCCCCCCCCTCACCGCCAGCAAACGACTCCCGGTCCCTACCACCGTCCGCACCACATCCCCCAGTGCTGTTCCCAGCACCACTTTCCTCACCACCACTGCCCCCACTGCCCACCAGTGCCCCCACCAAAACTGGGGGGGGGTCACTACCGGTTCGAACCCCCCCCTCGAAAACCGGGGAGGGTCACTACCAGTTCGAACCCCTCCTCCCTCCCCCCTCACCGCCAGCAAACGACTCCCGGTCCCTACCACCGTCCGCACCACATCCCCCAGTGCTGTTCCCAGCACCACTTTCCTCACCACCACTGCCCCCACTGCCCACCAGTGCCCCCACCACTGTCGCAATGTCCCCACTGTCCCCACCACTGTTCCCACCACGGTTCCACTCTCCCCACTTTCTCCACGGCCCCAACCACTGCCCGACTATCCCCACTGTCCCCACTGTCCCACTGAGCTGTCCCACTGTTCCCACCACTGACTGTCCCCACCACTGTCCCCACCACTGTCCCCATTGTACCTCTGTCCCATTGTCCCACCGCCGTCCTCGCCACCGCCCTACCGTCGCCACCACCACTGTACCCTGCACTGTCCCACTGTTTCCACCACATTCCCACTGTCCCCACACCACTGTCCCCACCACCACCGTCCCCACCACTGTCCCACTGTCCCCACTGTTCCCACCATTGTCCCCGCTGTCCCCACCAGTGCCCCCCACCAGTGTCTCACTGTCCCCACTCTCCCCACCATTGTCCCACCACGGTCCCACTTTCCCCACTTTCCCCACGGTCCCCACCACTGTCCCACGGTCCCCACTGTACCCACTACTGTCCCACTGTCCCCGCCGCTGTCCCACTGTGTTGTCCCAGCGTCCCCACTGTCCCCATCACTGTCCCACTGTCCCCACTGTCCCCACCACTTTCCTCACCGTGCCGCTGTCCCACCACTGTCCTCACCACCGCCTTCACCACTGTCCCCACCACTACCGTCCCCACCACTGCCCCGCTGTCCCCTCACCACAGTCCCGATGTCCCCTCGCCACTGTCCCCACCACCACCGTCCCCACCACTGTCCGCATACCCCTCAGGTCTTCGAGGGGGGGGGGTTCGAACCGGTAGTGACCCCCCCCGGTTTTCGAAGGGGGGGGGTTCGAACCGCCGGTAGTGACCCCCCCTTTTCATAATGGGGGAGGGGGGGAGGGGTTCGAACCGGTAGTGACCCCCCCCGGTTTTCCGGAGGGGGAGGGGGGGTTCGAACCGGTAGTGACCCCCCCCAGTTTTCCGCCAGCAGCGGTAGAACATGCTCTGTCGGGCTTCAACGTCCGGGATTTGAAAGCAAACCTGCACTCGAGCGGAAGCATCGCTTTCGGAGAAAATGTGGCCTTGGCCGTGGCCGTGGCCGTGGCCGTGGCCGTGGCCGACGTCGAGGCGAGAGCCCCTGGAACCGTCTCCATATATCACCGATACGTGTCCTCTTGATGTGAATACTCGACGCCGAAGACGACGCCGAAGACGCCAACGCCGACGACGCCAACGTCCCCGCCGACGACACCGATGACGCCGCCGCCTCCGCCGCTGCCGCCGACGACGACGACGACGCCGATGCGCGCTGCTGGGTGTTCCCGC